GGGGAATGTTTTCGTGGCATTCTCCAGGTGCACTCGTCATTGTGGAAGGCACGATGAATCAAAGGAAGTACACATCTGTCCTTGCGGAGCATGTTCATCTCTACATGCGGATTATTTTCCTCAGAACGATGGCATCTACCAGCAGGACAATGCAGCTGCCGACCCCTTGTAGTCCAGAACTTTTTTGAAAAGGAGTACCTTGTAATCTGACAAATTACATACTTATAAAAATGGTAAGATCAAATCTATATGTACTACATAATATACGATATGGGGCTTAGTGAATTAAACAACACAATAGATAGCATAGGGTTTATTATAAAATTAATGTCATTAATGCTATAGCACTTGCAAAAAAATAATAACTAAACATATTGATGTCAATCAATTACATACAACATATGTAAGTATTTCCAAAGTACATACCGTGTTTCCCTGAAAATAAGACATCCTCTGAAAATAAGACCTCGCAGAAGTTTTGCTGAATTGCGAAATATAAGACCTCCCCCAAAAGTAAGACCTAGCAAAGTTGTTTTTAGTTGTAACAGTCATCGACAGATGATTGAAAGTGGCCGTTAGCTTTTTGAAAGTACAGCCACTGATTGGTCAGCAGACAATCATGCCACACGGCATGATTTGCATAAGACTATGGCTTGGGAATCACAGATTTGCATAATGTTATGGCTGGTGATCGCTAATTGGTTGGCCGGGAATCAGTCCACATCACATTCGCATAGTGCTATGGTTCAGTAAGCACTAATTGGTCATCGAGCCTGATGTTGACACTATGAAAAGGTTAAGTTGAAGAGAGAGTGGGAAGTCCACTCCAGCATGGGAACTTCGTAAGTTCACTTTGACACGACCGGATATACATCACTCTCGTTTAAGTTAAACTTGGGAATTTTTTGTTCAACAATAAATGTGAATTCTTCTTCATGGAAAAATAAGACATTCCCTGAAAATAAGACCTAGTGCATCTTTGAGAGCAAAAATTAATATAAGACACTGTCTTATTTTCGGGGAAACAGGGTATTATGTATGATCTTAATTTGAAAATGGATAAACAAATAAATTTATGGTGCATGCAAATATTCATAAATTTTCTTTTGTTTTACATTGGCTAAACGCAAGAGTAAGGCCTTGTCTCTGTCTCCTCAGGAGTAAAAGTTTGTTGTACAATGCATTATTCTCTTCAGCCCATTGCGTACCAAGCTGCATATAGGCATGTTGGATTATAGGAGGTGCCAGATTAGACGGGCCGGATTACTGCAGGTCTACTGTAGTTAATTGGGGCCTCCTGCCCCTAAGGTTTCCATATCTGGTCTTGTCTTTCATCTATCTAACTCTGTTCTTGAGATTAAGGAAAGAGGGCCAGATAGACAACAGTGGGAATTTTTATATCTGCAAGAAAATTTCGATTTTACATTGGAGTTTCATTTAGCTGCACCGCTTTTTCAAGTTGAAGTGCTACAACTCTGATATGAAAAACTGTAGTATTCATTTCACCTGAAGATGGTATCTATATGTTACCGAAAGTACTAGTGAACTTTTTATATTTATATTTTAATAATTCACCGTGGTAATGCCACAACACATAAGTGATTTTACAATAATTATAAAATCAGCATAAAGTGATAACTTATTTTATTTTCGATCTACAATTTTCTCAAATTGCAGTCCAATAATTTTAATAGCTTTCTTTTATTTTTGGTTTTTTAAATATTATCCAAAACATGAATAAAAAACAGCATGAAAAATTTATGGAATTACTATAAATTTTTTTTATTTTATTCATTTTTTATCTTATAAAAATTTATAAGTCTCTTTTTATTTGAAGAAATTATTTTTAAAATTTAGTTAATTTGTAGAAAGTTTAATTTTAGAGTTAGTTTTATAAAATTTAAAATGATTTCATAAATTAACTGATGATAACATGAAAAAGCTCTCTCATAACATATTGAATTAGTGACATTAAAATATTTAAGATATTTTTAATGTAAAAGAATGAGAAAAATAATAAAACCTATATGAAACCTAAAAACAACAATACCAAAGACCCCACACAATGCAGACCAATTACATGTCTCCCAACACTCTACAAATTATTGACATCCTGTATTGCACACAAAATATACGAACATGTTGAAGAACACAACATTCTCATGGAACAACAGAAAGGTTGCTGTAGAAATCATGGGATGCAAAGAACAGTTACTTATAGATTCAGAAACAACAAAGAAACATACACATGGCATATATAGACTACAGAAAAACATTCGACAGTGTTCTACACAGATGGCTGCTACATATTCTACACATGTACAAAATGCATCCATCACTCATTGCATTCTTCCAAAACACTATGCAGCACTGGAGAACAACACTACGTCTCAGGATTAGTAACACTTCCATACAAACAAACAAAATATTCATTAGGCGAGGAATTTTTTAAGGAGATTCCTTGAGTCCTCTCTGGTTCTGCCTTGCCTTGAACACATTATCCAACATGTTAAACAACACACAATATGGCTACAATCAGACATGAAAAAAAGCAAAACTGTCACATCTCATGTACATGGGCGACATAAAACTTTATACATCCACACAAAAACAACTTCATCAACTCCTACAAATCACACATTCATACTCCAAGGACATACAAATGGAGTTTGGCCTAGACAAATGCAAAACACTTTACATAGAAAAAGGAGTTTTGAAGAAAGAAGATTTTGTACTTGTAAATGGAGATGCTATTGAATCCATGGAAGAGGGCGAGTTCTACAAGTATTTAGGATTCCAACAGGCCAAACTAACAGAACATACACAAATAAAGCAAAGATTAATTAAAGAATACCAAAGTAGGTTAAATGTTATTCTCAGAACACAGTTAAAGCAATAAACACATATGTCTTCCCAGTACTCACATACTCTTTTGGAGTTATACATGTTTATTGGACTTGCACAGATCTTGAGCAACTCCAAAGGAAAACAAGAACAACACTTACTAAGCATAAACAACATCATCCTAAATCCACCACAGAAAGATTAACCCTTCCACGTAAAGATGGCGGACGTGGCCTGATTGACATAGTTAATCACTGCAAACAAGTACAGTCACTGCAAGAGTTTTTCTACAAGAAACACGAAACATCACAGTTACATAAAGCAGTAACTCTAGCAGACTCAAATAACTCATCATTAAACTTACATTCACATCATACAGACATGACACAACATATAAAAAGCATAGACACCATTTAGCAATCATGGGCTCAAAAGGCACTCCATGGTAGGCATCCTTATGATCTGGCCCAGGATTTTGTTGACAAAACTGCATCAAACAGCTGGTTAGATCAGGGATGCATCTTTGGGGAAATGGAAGGATTCATGATTGCCATACAGGATCAGGTCATAAATACTAAAAACTACAGAAAACACATACTCAAAGATACAACACTCTCAAATGTCACGTCATACCAGAAACTATACAACACATCACTTCTGGTTGCAAGCTCTTGGCACAGACAAATTACTTACATAGACACAATCAAGTAGCAAATATAATACACCAAGAGCTTGAAAAGAAGCACAAATTATTAGACATCCACAAACCATACTACAGATACATTTCACAGACAGTATTGGAAAACAACACGCACAAAATGTACTACGACAGAGCCATAATCACAGATAAAACAATTTACCACAACAGACCAGACATCAACTCATTGACAAACACAATAAAATCACATACATTATAGACATAGCCGTTCCAAACACTCACAATGTACTGTACAAAACACATGTACTGAAAAAATTAGCAAGTACGTAGAACTCGCCCAGGAAATAAGGCATCTGTGGAGGATGGATAGGTTGCTTATTGTACCTGTTGTTCTCTCCTGTACAGGTGTGATACCACACACACCACACCTGGAAAGTCTGGAAACATTACAATTGAGTAGAAATACATACATCACACTACAGAAGGTTACTATATTAAATACATGCCATATTGTTAGGAAATTCCTGAATACAGACACTGACACACTTATTTAATTTTAGTTTTTGGTTGCTATTCCTTGACTCTGGTCTGGCATAGTACACAGCCATCGGTATAAACCGAGTATAACCCACTAAATACTGTAAAATAATAATAATAGAAACAATTATTCTTTTATTAATGCAAAATTTCTAAAACTGATGTATTTTGAAAACAAATTTTGAAATCTATATTATTTAACTTTAATATTGTTTATATTGAATTAAACTATATTGATCTAAAAACTTTTATATATTTGGTTTAAACTGAAGTTTAAAATATAAGTGTAGCTCACTCTTGCTAATCTAATCTAAACTTTTAAACTGTATTTAACTGTTTTAATTTTTTGTACTGGATTGTTTGGATTAGCGAGAAATCAGGATTAGAAGCATTATATATAAAAGGGAGTTGAAAGGACTACTGACAAATATATATATTTTTAAAATGTGTAGTAAATTTCTAATTTTTTATACACAGTTCCTTAAATTGATATATTTTATCATGTTTTAAAAAAGAATTTTTTTTTTAAATTTGGGACATTTAATGAAAAAATAAGTAAAATTAATTTAAATTAGCAGAATTTATATAAGTGAGAATGCACTTTGTCAAAATTAAAATAATAATAATATAATCTACTAGCTGTTACCCGCGACTTTGTCCGTGGAGGTTTTGCAAGCAAATCCCATTTACATTCAATATTTCAATAACCATAGTAATTGTTATATAACACCTACCGCTGAAGAGAATTGCCAAGAATCAAACAAACTATTTTCAATTTGATCAATTTTCTGGAACGTTTACAATCGTTCTATAATCGAACCAATATGCAATAACAAATTTGAATTTAAAACGGTTTGAACATTTTTAAAATCAAAATAGATAAAAATATTTATAACAATGTCTGAAATGTTATCAATTTAATACACCTAAATACTCAATGAAGACTAAACATAGTTGAAAACAAAAAATCGCATCTAAAATAGTACAGTATAAGTCATTCTTCCAGTTAAGCCTTAATGCTCTCCCTCACCCCCGCGGGGAATTTCTAAAAATCCCTTTTTAGTGTGCATTGCCATGGCTTATCCTACTAAAACGCAGATAAAAACAAAAAATTGCATCTAAAATAGTACAGTAGAAGCCGTTTTTCCGGTTAACCCTTAATGCTCTCCCTCTCCCCCCACTTGGGAATTTCGAAAAATCCCTTCTTAGTGTGCGTTTTTATTATGTACCCTAACTGTGTACCAAATTTCACCTCTTTAGGTCCAGCAGTTTGCTCTGGGCGATGATGCATCAGTGAGTCATTCAGTCAGTCAGGACAAGCAATTTTATATTTATAGATATATGTTAATAGCACATATATAGGTTGTCAATTACTTATCACTTATGTATTGTTTAATATTAATAATTTAATACATATAAAATCTAAATTAAAATGATGTAAATCATTTAATAATTTTATTATATAACTGAATCAATTACATTTTGAAAAATTTTTATTTAGTAATGTGACTTTTCTTATGTAGAATATGGTGAATTTCTTCATACACGAGGTAAAAAATACACTGATTTTGATCAGATCAGAAAAGAAATTGAAGATGAAACAGATCGCACAACTGGATCAAATAAAGGAATTTCACCTCTTCCTATTAACTTAAGGATATATTCTCCAAATGGTATGGTATATTTTTTGAATATTGAAAATAATCTTTTATGACAGTTAAAAATTGAGATATAAAAAGTTACTTTTAAAATAATGTTAAATATTGTTTCACAGCAGAAGTTGTGGGTTTGAGTCCCGCTCCTGGTTGATTTTTTTCTTTCAGTAGTTCTAAATTATTTAATTAAAAATTATAATTATTAAATTTATTAAGAGATGGTGACTAACGCCTCCCTCTAGTACCAAGTTGTTACATAATTTATTAGTATTATAGCCGTTATCTAATCTGATGACATATGGCATTCATTGGCTTGTAGTTTTATAATGTATCATGCTTTAGTGATGTTGTTTGTTTACATAAGTTTTTTTATACAAATAAATTAATGTATACATATGTTATTGTTGTATACAGTTGTATATTTACATAGGTATACATATGTAAACATACAATTTTGTTATAATACAATATCTAGAATTACTTAAATACAGTAGAGCGTCATTTATCCGAAAGTTAATTATCCGAAAGAATTCCAGTCGGCAAATTTAAATTTTCGCCAGTGCTGTGGCACTGCAATCTTTGGCTATGTCTTGGGTTACTCAAATATTGTACGTTTTTGATACTAAATTAACTTCTGAAGTATCATTTTTTATTGTTTTTAAATTTTTCAATATATTTATTTTGTACAAAATAAAAAAATAATTTTTAACAATACAATAGTCTTTGTTAGGCTTAACATTGACGAAAATTCAATGTGAAGTGACACGCAATGGAGAAAAATTTCAACATGGGATAGGTTAATATATTTTTTTGTCGTTTTTTGTTAAAGATAATTTAAAATGGCAATTTATATTTAGTATTGAACTTAACATTGATTGATCTTCCTGGAATGACCAAAGTGCCAGTTGGTGATCAGCCACACGACATAGAATTTCAAATACGAGATATGCTTTTATCCTTTGTCTCCAAAGGCTCTACTGTAATAATTATAGTTACAATACAAAAGTTTGGTTTTTCGAAATCAGACATTTTAATTTGTTTGTATTATTTTTAGTAGTAATAGTTGTTTTAAAAATAAAATAATATTTTATTTACAGATCCTTAAATTTTATTCAATACATTAATTTTTACCACATTTTGAGTATAATTTTTAAGGAAAACTGAGATTCATGTTATCAGCATTGAATATTGTTATTATAAAAGATTTTTTGCACAGATTTTTATTTTATGAACTTAAATGATAGTTGATATGTTATAAATATTCTTAATATCACTTATTTTTGAAATACTGTATGCACACACATGAACAAACAAATACTTGGTACTTTAAAATTGACATAACTGAAAGAATCATTGTATACCTACATACATGAAAGACATTGGCCATACACGAGGTGTTTAGTCAGTGGAAAAGAGGGGAAGAAGGAGGGAGAGGAGATAGACAGTAGAGAAAGATAGGATCCTTCTGAATGGTAGATGTATAGCTACTGTATCTCTATGTTTGATGTTGGCGTGCAGTTTTTAGGCTGAAAGACCGTAGTCCCAAAGGGTCTAAAAGAAGAGCTGAGTGTTGTGAACGCCAATAATTGAGTGCCACCGCGAATAGCTAAGTGTAGAAGTTAGTGCCAAGTGGCTGTTATGCGAGCACAAATCTTAATACTACTTAGCAGCTAGACAGACAGCGCAAAAAATGAACACAATGCAAACTAGACGAGACAAATGGATCAACAGAAAACAAACGAGCAAGACCCAAATTTTTTAAAATTATTTTTATTTATTTATTTATTTTAGTTATTTATTTTTTTTAAATTTTAATTTACTCAATAACTAAACTAAACTGCTGTAACCTAGGACAAACCTAACCAGACGACTAAAGCTAACAAATCCTAATCTAATTTTACCTAACCGGAAACCAAGCTGAGTCTTTAATCTAACTTACAACTACGACTAACTTAAATGAATCAAATTTAGACTGAAAAAGAAAACAGAAAATAAGAATTAAAACACAAAGTTGAAAGGCAGTTGAAACAAAGCTAGGGAAACCTAATTGCCATCCGTGCCCCTAGAGTGAGTGCTCTCAATCCCCCCCACTAAGGGATATGAATGCGAGTCGATGATGGAACATTGTACGCATGTGAATGAGTTGGTGCGGGTTGCAAGGCCAGTTGTACCCTTCAAGAATAGCAGCTCTCATTAAACTATCCCTAATGTGATTGTACCTATTGCAGCGAAAAACTAAGTGAAGTGGTGTTTGGTTCGCCTGAATACCACAATTGCATTGTGGATTGTTCTCAAGGTTAAATCTATGCAAGTATTGCTTAAAGCTGCCATGTCCTGTAAGTAGCTGAGTCAGGGTGTAACTAGGGTAAAAGTGGCAAAGAATCACAATAGTGTCACTTTCATCCCCAAGGTTGCTTGGGGATGAAATTGTAGGTGAGCCTACCAGTGGTGTCATGCTCCCAGATTTGTTGCCAGAGAATGAAGATTTTCTTATTGATGTGATTGTTGATGTACGAGGTACGAATGTAACTGAAAGTACTAGTGACTGAAGACTTTGCAGCTTGTTTGGCAAGACGGTCAGCGGTTTTATTGTTGAGAACCCCCGCATGACCCGGAACCCATTGGAAATCTATTCTAATGTTGTTGTCTAAGTGTCTGAGAATGTGGTGTATGAGCTGGATGAGTTTTAAGCGGCTATCAGATTTTGCAATCCTGTGTAAAGCTACCATACTGTCAGAATAAATGCAATAGTGTAAGTAGTGTCTTTTGTCCTTCCTACACCTAATGTGAATTAAACTCATATAAATAGCTAAAGTTTCCACCTGTGCTATTGAGCAGTGTGTGAAGTTATAATCATTGTATAAAGTTAAATGTATAATAAATACTGAAAATGCAAGCATAAGCTTTTTTCATTATGTTTGACACCATTTATATAAAAAAGTACTACTATAGCATTTGCTCTGCATTTTTTTAATGTAAAATTTTCTTTATTTGTTATATTTTAAGAAACCTCATTAAAAATTGATGCTAACAGGATCTTAATGACAATAATTGTGAACGCCAATAATTGAGTGCCACCACGAATAGCTAAGTGTAGAAGTTAGTGCCAAGTGGCTGTTATGCGAGCAGAAGTCTTAATACTAAAATTGATGCTAACAGGATCTTAATGACATCAAAATTCTTGATATGTTATAATTACAAAATAACTTAATCAATATAGGTATCATTTTACTTGACAATTTAGAAAGACATGGTTGTTATTTTCAATAGGATTTGTTATAAAATCACACATTTTTATTGCAAAACATTGATTTATTAAATTAAGATATATTGTTATGATTTGTTGATTGTATTTTCAAAAAATAGCTGGATATAAAACCATATAACCAATTCAATAAACCCAATAACACTTTTTAATGTTTTTAAAAGCTACATTTCTTTTAAAATGATTACAAATTTAAAAAAAAAAATTTCAAATGACAACAAACACAAAAAAAAAATGCATTTTGTAAAACATTTCTAATTTTGAACATTTGAATAAGAACAAAAATTTCCAAAAGTTTCTTACAAATAACAACCACAATGATGTTATATTACATACGTGTAAATAAAACTTTGAGAAAATAAAAGCTATTATTATTTTCAATTTTTACCACCTATTGTATGGAATGAATTCATTAATTAAATTTGTTGGAAATGATCCAAGTAATAATTATTTTTTTTAATATATTATTTTAGTTTCTTTATAAACAAAATAGGTTACACATGGTTTCTAAATTGAGTAAAATAAGTTTCAAAAGTTTTTGTATGTTTATAAATATAAATTTTGTAACATTAAACAGAAAGAAAGAATTTTCTTTTTTAAAGACAAAAATTGCATCTTTCTTGTATGCCTTTAATTTTAAAATTTTACTATATTAGAAAAATATTGAACAAATTCTTATATTTTATAACCAATTTTGTTTTATTTAATACTTTTCTTTTTATAATATTTATATTCATTTAATAATTTAAGTAAAATTACAATAAAGTAACTACGGAGAAATGCAAATTTAATGTAATATTGCTGTATTTGAATCAGATTAGTGTAATTTAATAGTATTTTTATATTGCTAACATTTACTAATAATAATATAAAAATGGGCTATTAAACAAAAATAAATGCAGAGATATTATCTTGTCATTAACCTATGTTAAATTTTAAAACCTATTACAAAAAGTAACTTTATTTTTATATCAAAAATTAAAATAAAATGTAATTAATAAATTTCAAGTTTTTGCAGAATTATAAAATTAGTATAAAAGTAATGTATGAAATAAATTTGTAAAAAATTTATTAAAGTATCCACCTTATTGTATTAAAAATGTGATTTGGCATTAATTTCATTACAATCGTACATGGATTACAGAAAAAAAGTAAGTGGTTCAATGTTAATTTCATTATTTTTTCCAAATCTCAAAATGTAATTTTCTTGAAACTGAAATTTAGAAAAGTTGTTTTGTTTGTAAAGTTAAACTGATTTAAAATCATTATTCACAATTTTCATAAAAGTTCAAAAAACTTGGTACACATATTGATAAATATAGAAGCAAAATAATTATTAGTTCAGATAAAAGAAATATTTTTGGTCAAACATTTGACCATTCTTGATTTACAACAATTTAATTAATAGATTACTCAATTTTAATCTGTTAATTGAGTTGTTATAAGCTGAAGATGATCAGATATTTTACCAAAAATGTTAGTTTAGTTAGCCAACACTTATTAAAACCAAGTAAACAGAATAAACAATGTTAAAAAACTATCAAAGTATAACAAAAAAGAATAATAAAGGAATTTGTCAAAATGGTGATAAAAATGAAATAAAATGAAAAGGAATGTATAAATACAATAAAAAAAAAATAAAAGTAATAATTAAAAAGGTTAAAATTCATATAATTTTCTTGCACAATAGCTCTTAAATGAATAATTTTAACTTCTTTAATAAGTTGTTTTATTTTGAATACTGTAATGTTTATCTTTGAAAGAAGATTATAGAAATATAACATAAGTCTTTAAAAAACTTCTTTAATAGAAAAAAATAATAAAAATTTTATAAAATTCAAGGATAAAACTTGCCTCTTCACAGGTAATTAAAGAACTTTCAAATAACACTTAATACAGGATATGTTGAAAAATATAAAGATGAATTTAATAAATTTTCTATAGTATTAGTTCTCTCAAAATAATAGAGTATCAAGACTATTATAAGAATAAATAAAAGAAGAAAAGAAACTTAAAACAGTTGGAGTAGTTTACAAGATATTCTGTACTTGTGAAAATCAAAGTAAATATTACACAGGAAAAATGAAGAGATTACTCAAAAACAATGATTAAAAGAGTATCAAGCAGCTATTAGGAGTTGTGACATCACCATAGTATTTACATTGTAGTGAAACAAATTGTAACATTAATACAGATATATTAAATTTTGCATAAAGAAAAATACATCATTAAAAGAAAAATTAAAGAACATTTTGCAGTAATAAAAAAGAAAAATGTAAATAATAATAATAATTTAAATAATGGCATTAACATTAATGCATGTTGAGATAGAATTGTAAACTATAAATAAACTGCATAGGGATAGAATTGTATAATCATCACCAAAGAGGCCTCAGCAATATCACTTTGGCAAAATGCATTTGGTGTTTGGATGTTCTTTAATTAATTACCTCAAAAGTCGGAAGAGGTGGAAAGTTTTTCTTAAATTTTATACATGTTTTAATAAAATTAATTCCAATCCCACTGTAAAGTTTAAAAAACATTTTTTTTATAACAACAGAAACTGTACATTGAGTGTTAGCACTTTCAAGCCTCAGAGTTTCTCTGCTCCGCTGTTTTGAGTTTCATGGAATTTAGAATATATTTGACTTTTAGAATTAATGGAATTTTAAAGAATTTTTGAATTGAAGATCTGAGGTTCAAAAATACTCAGGAAGTGTTTGATGTAAAATTTTTATTGTTTCTCCATTAAAGCAGTTTTAAAGAATTCTATTTTATGCAGAGGGATCTGATTTTTAAAAAATAAAATATAATAAATTATTTTAAAATTAGAGAAAAAAATTGTGTAATGAATAGTTTAGAGTTAATTTGATAACTTTTCACAAATATAATTCATGTATGTAAATAATTTTTAGTTTTAAAAATATAAGAAAATTTAATCCTAACAAAATAAATGCTAGAAAATGAATTTATAGGAATCATCATATAAATATTAAAATTATATACAGATGAAAAGATTAGATTACTTAGATAATTATCGCTTAAAGGAAAATGCATTGTAAAACAATGTTATAGTTGATGATAATTGAAAGGAAGAATAAAAAAAAAATATTCAAGGTAGTCATATAACAGTTAAGAAATATTAGATATTTATAACAAATGATTCAAGTAGAATATGATTAATAAATGTTGAGATTGATTACAAAAGATTAGGAATGATTATAACAAATGAACTTTCTGACATGCTAACATGCAAGGCAAAGTCAAGAAACCATTGATCATTTGCAGTTTGAAAATGATAATTTGTTGATTGAATGCTAATTAAAAATAAATTAAATGCACCACAAAAGCAAATTAAAGAATAATGCAGAGTTAATTTCCAATCTCATCAAAAGCAATTTACTCATCATTGGAACAGACAGTCTAGATGTAAACTAAATGCTTTCTTTCAAGGATGACATTGCACAAAACTAAAACATTCTGCTCTCATGCTTTGTGAAGAGTTGAACCAAACTATTCTCTTTCATGCACAGCTTTATATTTTGGATACTGATATAGCAATGTTAAAAGAAAAGTTCAAACAGAAAATGAATGCTGTCTGCCAAAATTATGAAGAGACTTGATTGCTTTCTAAGAAAAAATAATAGTTTGGCAGACTCTTATCATGTGTATGAAATTATAGAACAAGAAACAGATACAGCTGAATTACAAAATCATCAATATTAATTTACAAAAAGTAAGAAATTAATGAAACCGTATTTTCTTTGTATATATTACAGTGAAATAGGTAAGTGAACTTTACAAGTATAACTTTTCAATAGTATTTTATACAGTCTGTCATATGATAGGCAATCAACTAGTTATTATGTTTTAGTATTATGTTATCTATTAGTTTTATGATATTTTACAACAAAAAACAACTACATTATCTCATTGTTTTCATTGTGAAATTATCAATTTATTGTTAAGTTTCAGTCATTTATAGCCAGCTAATGAATTCTTCCTTTCAGTCTATTAGTTTTTATAAAAATTGCCATAATTTAAGTTATATTAAGTTAATATATCTATTCTAATATTATAAAGAGGTAAATTTTGGATGTAGGAGGTAATCTCCGAAACTACTCATCCAATTTCAAAAATTCTTTCACCAATATTTAGAATGGACCTTCAGGGTGGACATAGGCTGCATATTATTCCGTTAAACATTCATATAAATTAAAAGATATCATCTAGGTAAGTGTTATATTTTTGGTGTCAATGAGTGGCGAGGGCTAGATGTGTACATATACAAGATAGGTAATCGCGTGGTGGGCGAGATGTGCAGTCAGTGGTGGCCTTAGGGGGTGGCGAGCAGGGCAATCGCCCGGGGCCTCGCTCTTGGAGGGGCCTCGCGCAACAACCAAGTAGAAAAAAGTTGATATTTAAAACTTTTTATTTTATCCTTGGCTATTAGTTATAACAATAAAATAAATTTAATTTATTTTATTGTACAGTATATATTAATATTAATAAGTGCCTACTATTTCAATTCACATACTTTGCACAAAGGACAAGGGCCTCGCAAAGACCTGCCGCCCAGAGCCTCGCAATGGATAAGGCCGCCGCTGTGTGCAGTGCACACGTCCGAACTTGTAGTATATAAAGTTGACATGGGAAACGCATACACATAAGTTCACTTTATTCAAACTCTTAGTCTTAATGTTCGATTTTATATTTATGAATGATTCTAGAAGATCCAACTTATTTTTCGAATTTAGTAAACTAGAAGAAGAACCCAGAAGGGGTTACGAAAACATTTGTTATTTATCACTTATGCACTGGTTAGTGGTTGCCGTGAATCTTAATAATTGTTATCCCAGTGTGGTAAGCAGATATCTAAAAATTTTCTAATTATAGTCTTGGAATAACGGGGACCTAATTCTTGCACTCAGTGAAAACAGGTAAGATCGGCTATAATCTTAATCTTTGGTATCGTTTTTGTTTGAGCAATGCCAGGCTCATCTGCTAATATAATATAAGTTAAGAATAGTGATAATGTTCCGTGTTGAGTTTATTTTATATATAGTAATAACACTTAAGTGTTGCAACGTTACCAAAATAAACTTTAAAAATGAGAATGTTCGTTTATTTCAGTAATGCCAAAATAAACGAATGTTTGTGTTTTCATAATTTTTGTAAAAATATTGATGTCATAAAAATGAATTAACGTATAACTCTAATTTGTTATCCATTCACATTTATTTTATTAATTAATTGTGTTTAATTTTATCTATTTCCACGTATATTTATAATTTAAAAGAAATTTTTGTTAAAAGAAAAGAAAAAACTTTTTTGTAAAAACAATGACGTCATCAGAACTAAAACAAATTTTTGAATATCTGACATTCCAACACTGTAGAACCTGAGGAAGGCCATTAAATATAGTGTTAGTTTGATTAAAGAAATTACTAGAAAAAGTATCAAAGGTTTTATAATACTTATTTACAGAAGTTCTAGCTTTACGTGCATAGAATTTAAAACATAATTTTGAATATTATACAATAATAATTTTTGTACTTAAATAAGTTTTTAAATGAATCAAACACTTTAAAACCTTTTATACTCATATAGCACTAGTTAAGAATTTTAATTAAACATTTGTCTTTAACACATTTAATTAAAATTCTTAACTAGCCCTATATAAAAGGTTTTGAAGTGTTTGATTCATTTACATGACTAGTGTTGCATTTTTAAATATTTTATTAAATGCTATTAGTTAAATATCATTATAAATTAATGTTTTGTTTTACAATTTATATTTTTTATTTTTTTGTTAAAGATAATTTAAAATGGCAATTTATATTTAGTATTGAACTTAACATTGATTGATCTTCCTGGAATGACCAAAGTGCCAGTTGGTGATCAGCCACACGACATAGAATTTCAAATACGAGATATGCTTTTATCCTTTGTCTCCAAAGATACCTGCTTGATTTTAGCTATTACAGCAGCCACTCAAGATTTAGCTACATCAGATGCTCTTAAATTAGCCAAAGAAGTTGATCCTGAAGGTATAACTATTTTACAATATTTATATTTGAAATTTTTATTTTTCCAGTTTTAAATTTGACATTAGTGGATTTACCCGGAATGACTCGAGTTCCTATTGGAGATCAACCATTGGATATAGAAAAGAAACTTCATGATCTCATAATGAATTATATAACAAATAAAAATTGTTTGATACTCTCAGTAACTCCTGCTAATTCTGATATTGCTACATCAGATGGTCTTAAAATGGCAAGAGAAGCTGATCCTGGAGGTTAGATATATTTGTCATAAAGGCATGAAGTGTGATAGAGCAAGAAATAAAAAATTACTGAATACTAATAAGGTTTTGTATGATTAATATAAATAACATTTATAATTAGAAGAATGATTTTTTCCTATTGTTAAAAAACAATAAAATTAAGAGAAAACAGCATGGCATAAAACAGTGTTTGTTAATAACTTTCTATAGAGAGTAAATGTGTATGTGTTTTTTTAATGAACATGACAGACAGTTAATTTCAAAATTAAACTTTGATATGTAAATTATGTCAATTTAGATCTAGTTAGAATCTGTACTTACTTAAATACTGAATTAGTAATAGTGGGTAAAAAGATATATATACCTTGGTTTACACATGCAGATTTTTCAATGAAAATTGTTAAATAGAAATCCATAAAAAATTTTATCTTCATTAATTCAAATAAAAATTTATAATCTCAGAAATCATATTCACACTTAAATAGACAAAAATCAAATATTTTTGAATTTCAACAAAGGTAATGCTTTATTTCTATATCACCAGGAATCAGAAAGAGATAATAGAAACAGAATCATACAGAAAAAAACCTGTTTCTGTTCTTTATCTGCTACACCAAATTGAGCACAGAATTTCTCAGCTGAACCTCATGGCCAATAACAGAATAAGAAAAAGTGGATGACAATACTTTAGTAATGTTGCATATTTTGTCACTGAAATTTGTTGCTTTACAAGACAGTTAAAAGTCAATCATAAACAATTCTTTTTTATTCTCTCCTTCCTCAGTTTAATTTGAAAAGTATCCTTAAAAATGTTTACGAGAACCTTCTTTTTTCTTTAAGAACTTGTTAAATCGAGGCATGCACAAAAACTAGAGTATAATAATTATTTTTTCAGGCATTTATTGTTACACTCAGTGCTGCCATTTCTAGGTTAATTTCAACTTCTCAGGGTATTGTTTAGGATAGTCTTATATTTAGGGTAAATCTAGAGTAAAACTGCCCTGTGATCTGATGCTTTTATTGTAAAAGTTTTTATTGTAGACTTGTAAAAGAAATCTATGCTAGATTTGATTTCAGTAATGACATTTTTTTTATATCTGCTTTTGCTTGAACCTGAAAATTTGCAAAATTTAACAGTGAGGTTTTTGGAGCCATTTAAAAAGTTTAACCTCTTATGAACCTCTTAGTAAACACTGGAGGAAATACAGTTCATCACACCAAAAAACCTTTGTAACTCCAGTGAAATTGTTCTATTCCAAACGCATTCGAATTCCTCTTAACTGTAGCCTGATGATGACCCGGATGAGGTCGAAAACATTCGCTGTTTTGTAAACACGTATCACTGAAGCTAAAAAGTATAAAAATGTTAAGGCTGATTTACAAGTTGTAGACAATAAATGGTGTGAACAAGTCCTACTTAACTTGGGGTCAAAAAGTCATACTGTCAGATCCTACTTGTCAGAAATATTTAATTTAAAAAATGCTGCTGGAGAGCTTATTGATGATATTACCAGCTTCAAATGCATCTATGAGCAAATATTTAGTCAGCTACATTTGTTTAAGGCATCGCACAGACATTCTTTGAAAACTGAAACGATTTGTAACCTAATGCATGCACAGTCTGGTATTAAAAAAATATCGTTTTATTTGAACCTTCATAATGAATGTTAAAAAGCAAATATATATGTAAATAAATGAATTTTAAAACTGAACATTTACGTATTAAAGTAAGCTTGAAATCAAGTTAATGGCTTATTTAATTTTTTATTTTCAGCTAAGATACACAATGCATGTTGAAAGTGAATTAATTAAGATTAAGTTAAATAAAATATATCCATAAGTCTAATGAATGCATATATTTAGATATATGCATTCATATATATTTAATGCCGATATTTAGGCAATCGTTTGGTAATTTATTATATACTATTCGGGCTTTGAGTTGTTGTTATCTAATGAATGCAATTATGATTACTTAAAAGATCATTTTTCTTGTTTGTCAAATTAGAATTACCAAACTAAAATATCAATTATCTCCATATCAGATGTAAATTAATACCTCTGATAAAACCAAAAAATTCTAAGACATTTTAGTTAAGATTTTTAAAAACAATGAATTAAGAATTGTTCCGATTATTATTTTACGATAATAGTACAGGGATCTGCATTATAGAATTGTTGTTCTTATTTTTTTATATGAGCATGAGCTCGATGATGGTCGAGCTTGGAGAGTTTTCTCAATCTAGGGTAATCTGGGGTAAAACAAAGGTGCCGTCAGGGTAGTTCCACCAGAAGCAGGCAGCAGCATTGATAACACTAATCTGTATGATAGTTATTTGGCATTTTAGACTACCATCTGTTCACAATGAAAGATTATAAAAATTTTGTATAATTTTGGCAAACAAATAATAAGTTACTTTAGTAAGAAAAAAAGAAAAACTACTACTAAAAATTTTTTAAATTATTAGTATGATTTATGGTATTATGCTATTTATTATTTAGTGTTAAGTTATATTAAAAAAAAATGTGTAACAGGTGTGTGTATTACTTAATGTTAGTATAGGAAATACTTAATAATTAATAGTTTGTTATTTTATGAAAATTTCCACTTACACAAGATGTATTGGTTGTGTATGCTGGGATCCTACTGTATATATAATTTGAAAAATATTTATTATATAATTTCTGATATTTTTGTCAATATGTTTTTAAAAATATTTAATACTTTCCATATTTTTTGTGAATACCGTAATTACTTGCATATAAGACAAGGTTTTTATTCATTTATCATAGCTTCAAATTCTTAGGTCATCCTATACATGCGAGCGAAAGATTCTTTGTGTTTTTGCAAATAATTTTTGTGAACCGTGTATTTGTATTTTTTACTGGATGCTTACTCTCTTGTATTGAAAAACATAAGTATTTTATCTGGGTCATTTGAATCATTTTTGTATACTGTCAGGAGTAAAGATGAATAGTGATAGGAAAAGCAAAACTTTTGAATTGAATTTCAGATTGAAATTCCAGAATCACACGAGAGCTCAATATAAGTTTAAATCCATTCCATGTGAAAACAGATGATTATTCGGAAATCAGAATTTGGAGAAAATTATAAAGTGTAATTGACAGAGAGTGGATTTGACTTAAGAATTGGCAAAAAAGGTTCCAGATTGTCCAGCTTTACATGAAAAAATTATGTTGTCAATTTTTAAAAATTTTTCCTTAAAGTTTAAAAACAATTTTTGTGAGACAATGTGTCCATTTACATTCATTTGATATTTTACCTGTGATTGAACGAAATAAAATTAGAATTGTATTAATAAATCTAATTTTCTTTAAACCTTGCATATAGGATGAGGTCGTCTTATATGCGAGTAAATACAGTATTTAAAATTTTTGTAATCCCAGTTAAAGCATGCTACTCAAAAACTTTTTCTTTATAATTTAATTAATTAAGTTTAAATTTAAGTTATTAATCTTAAAAATTAAATAATATAAAATTGTGCATGTAAATAATATATATATATATGTGTGTGTGTGTGTATAAATATATCTATTTATTTGTTTCCTTATTATTTAAACATACAAGGATCTATTAAAAGTTTGACAAAACTATTTGTAAAGGTATTTTATTAGAATAATTTCTTTATAACAATTACTTGTTTTCATAATATTAGGTTGTTATTTTATATAATATAATGAAATAGTATATGATAATCTGTTACTGTTTTAATTGTATTATGTACACTTCAAACCATTTGCATTTAAGTTTGAAAGATTAATCATTGAAATTATTTACAATTTAAATTAAATCAATCTTTTTGGATTAAATCATTATATAATCAGTGAATTTTGAAAACTTTAATTTAAAAGAAAATAATAGTGAAATGTATTTGTTTTATTTTTCAGAAAGGCAGATTTTAATAATCAAATACAGTCAAATATTTTTTATGAATAATATTGATTCGGTTATATAAAAACTAGCAAAGAATGCCCAGTGTTGCCCAGGAACTCTGAGAGGATTGAGTTGTCCTCATTATAAGATACCATATGTTTCTTGCATGGTGACAGAGTAACTATGCAAAATTTGGTGCAAATCAGTCAAAAGGATTTGACAGTTTGTAGGGGATGAAATTAGGAAAGAGTGAGGGTCTGAATTTTAAAATAGTATATATGTTTTGGAGGATTATAGAGAATAACTATATAAAATTTATCCAGATCACTCAAAAGGTTTGGGGGTAGGAGAATGAAATCAGAGAAGAGTCAGGTCTGAGTTTTATAATAGTCCATGTTTCCTATAGGGTACCCAAAACTGAATAGATATGATAGTAAGTTTAAAAAAGTCCACCAGGTGGTGACAGGGTTGATGTTGAACAGAGCTGGCAAATGATGTGAGACAAATGCAGCAGTAAGAAATCTTTCTTGTGAATTTTTCTGTTTTAATATAAAATTAATATATAGCCTAGATTCATCTGGAAGGAATAAACTTTTCAATAGTGAAAGAATTTTAAAAATTAATTTATAAGATTGAGGTTACCTCCAACTAACAAACAACCAAACATTCTCACTTTATATATTAGTATAGATTAAGAAAAACAATGTTTACATAAACATTTTTGAAAAATAAAGATTAAGTAGATATTTAAAATATGAAATTAATATTGAACTGTGTGCAAAAATATAAATTCATTTTACAAATTTTTTAATAGAACCTTTTATCTTTCTTTTTGTTTTGAATAATTTTTTTTTTCTTATTAAACATTTGCTTGATATTTTTTCATGGGTTTGTTCCTGAATAATTTAAAAATAATGAGAATGTGAAAATTCAACAATTAAATTTTATGAAAAATAATACCTTACTTAAAAATAATAAACGAAGATGATTGCTGATCTTTGTAATTTTATAT